CCCCCCCCCCCCCCCCCTCCTGGGCCGTGGCTAAATTTTTTCTCGCGCCCGTCCTCTTGTCACCTCAAATACACTACTGCTGCTGTGCAAGAACGTTCAGGTGAGGAAGGCGACCTCTAGCGTTTACCACGTACTATCGCCAGCGCGTGGGGCTGTTAATGAAGCCTAGGCAGCGACTTTCGAACGAGTGCAACGCGCCTCACGCTTTGGTGTACATGAAAGAATACGAGGGACAAGCGAACATGTTCTAAACCCCCAGCTGCTGCCTCTTCTCCGGTACCCGATCCTCCGTCATCTCTTCCTTCGCACAGCACACAACACAGGCCGTCCACGCAACGATGTTCCCGACTAGAAGCATGCTCGGAGTGCTGGCGATGCTCCTGCTTAGCGCTGGACTTGAAGCTTTCTCTGTACACCCCGCGGTGACTCGAAGAGGGAGCAAGGCAGACAGCAGCAGCGGTAGGGCGTTAGCACCATCGGCTGTATCGGGCCGAGGCACATCAGCAGCAGCTTCATGGTTGTGGACGGGCGCGAGCGGGAGCCCGCGGAGCACGGTTCTTCGCATGGGATTGGAGACGGTTACGGGTTTGACATCCACAGACATGCAAGCGCGAGAGTTTCAGGTGTGGATAGCGTGCATTTGGTCGTGCTCGGAGAAGTATGTGTGCGATGTTCGGTGCATTGGGTGACCGAGGACACGTCAGCAATCAAAGCCATATTTTTTTCTCCTTTTGGGTGCTGGACAGATAGGCCGGCAACCGAAGAACCAGCATGCATGTACCCGACGCACGCCAACCCGGCACCTATCAACGGTTCACCGACCTCGCATCAAACCGGGGGTGTTTGGTTCAGGGTCGGGGAGGGTGTTGCGACGGGATGCAAGCACAGGAAATTGAGTTTGCATTGTAATTGTAGGTGTCAACCATTTTCTCGGCGGTAAGATTCTGAGGTCCCAAAGGTCGCCTCCGGAGTACCGCTCGAGTACCGCTCGATGCATTCACCGCATGCACAACGTACTTGTGGTTGAACACGCTGTAGTCTCGGGCACTTGCTCTACAGGAGAGGACGAACGTGTATGTGTGTTTGCCTGCACACGCAAAGAGCAACAGTTGATGGGACTATGCACACAGTAGTAGTATGTACGTGTATCATACGATGTAGACGTATTTTTTTGTTGTTCCGGACTGCTGTAATCCCGTGATCCCTGAACAACTAAATAAAACGTCACATCACGATCGATCATCATAATGTGGAACACCGACCTGTGGAACATGGGCGCGATTTAAACTCAAGTTGATATCGAACTGCTCTTCTTTACAGAATCGAATGAAAATCACAGAATAACTACATACAGTAGTGAGTTCGAGAATACACGACGGTCGCACGGGTGGTCATCTCTCTTACAAGTGCGCTGTTTCGTTTTTCTTGTTTCACAGAAACTGAGCAAAGTCATGATATCCACAGCAGTTGCATTCCAGAATAAACAGGTAAGGACGAAGTTCAATGTTAAATGCCATCCTGTGTTTCACTTTGGGGGCAATGTGAAGCAAGTTGGCGCCCGCTGATCAGAAAACAACCTCAAGAAAAACCTCAATTGTTGACGGAAAATGAAGAGTGAGAACACAGCACTGCTGTAGCGGCGGATCCTGCTCTGAGCCCTACTTGAAACTACCTGGGTGAAACGGTGTCGACAAATCAAGAAATGAAGGCTCGGCCCGAACTTTACGTTCTTTGATCTGCAGAAGCCAACTGCTGTACAACTGCATGCATACGGCAACAGCCATGGCCCCTTGTTTTGCATAACAGGCTTAACAAGACAGCGATTTGGTGGCCATATTGTGTATCGTAGATACCGCCATCTTTGCCCCATGTGTTCTGCTAGGGGGTTCAAGGTGACAAGTGATGGGAAGGGTTGGATTTTGAAGCGATGTGGTGCTGAACTCTGTTTGTGGGAAAGAGCAATATGTGCATATGTAGCACCCACAGCAGTGCGAACGTGAGAACACATGCGTAGAGAATCCATACGGAGCCATCGTCATTTTGCCCGCAAGATCCATTTGTCGTCCACAATAGCGCATCGCACTGCACACGTTGGCACAGGGTTCAACGGTACGCTGATTCGCTGTACCTTTATCAGAGGCTGTCGTAGCAACATCTAGCCCCCGCCCCCCCCCCTGCCGCCGCCCTTACTCTCTCCTGCCCTGTTTCAGTACTTAAGAATGCAAGCCACCCCCCATTATGCCTAAACACATCACGCCCCCCCCCCGCTCCCGCCCCTACATCGACACCAGCTTCGTCTCCTCGAGAATGTCCTCTTCGGTGCGCCCCTAACGAACAGCTCTCAGTCGCTTTTGGGACGACCTGCCTTCAGACACCCGTGTAATGATCTTCAATACATAGATGCACACACACCGCCAAGGCTGGACGCGTCCCGGCATCTAGTGCGCCTGCTCATTGTGCTGTCGGCAGCATGTGGTTTCACAGCATAGGTACCTGTTAAGTGCGGATTGGTCGAATAGTGCCGGTTGCCAGTGTAGTGTTTTCGGCGGGCACGCCCTGAATTTCCAAGTCATGAACAGTTGGCGTTCTATCGGTCCGGTATTGTGCCGGTGAATTATCTGGGAACGTACCGGTACTACACAGGGACCTCTGCTACTCCGTAGGTTGTCCCAAATGTCCTTGGGCGTGTACAGTCCTCGGGGCATGTAGAGGGCCGGCCATTTAGGGGGAGGTAGCCGGAGTACATGAGCTTGGAGTTGCCGCTCGTCGCCTGCTCTGGCTTTGACTGAAAGAAGGCTCCTCGACTCCGGCTCCGAACGTTGTCGCTGTTTTCGTCAGCGTCGGCATCTACGAGGGACTAGATAATTGAGGGCAGGAATCGATCATCCTCTTCTTTTGCTTCTCATGAGGGACAAGTACAGTATGGCTTGCGCTGATGATGCCTTGGCGAGCTCACCGTAGCCTGAACCACTGCTCTGTCCATACTTGCTCGTGTAGGCAGAGCGATGGTTGAAGGTACGGTGTGCTCACCGAGGCATCACCGGTGCAAGCCCTGCTGTGCTTCCCCGTGATGAGAAGCGAGCGCAGAATGATTGCCTCCTGGCCTCAACTATCTAGTCGCTCGTAACTTCGTACCGGGAAGCCGATGTTGACGCCGTCAACAGCGACAATGTGCGGAGCCGAGGACCCTTTTTTCAGTCAAGCCAGAGCGGGCGGCGAGGGGCAACTCCAAGCTCACGTGCTCCTGCTGTCCCCCCGCCCTGTACACGCCTTAGGACATCCGGGATAACCTGAGTCTGCCGGAGGAATGACGTGCTGCCGACAGCGATGCCGCGGTAGTTTGGAATCCCACAAATTCTACACGAAATCCGAAATGTTTGCCGTGCAGGCGAAGTATGGAGCAATTTCTCGGGGTCATGGACAGAGATTCTTTGAGAGGATCTTGAGTGTTTCGGCGCAGCAGATTCCCTTCCCAGATGGGTCATGATGTCTATTGATGCCTGTAGCAGGAAAACATTCCAAGGGCACGCATCAGCACTGCAAATGCCCTGCGCATGTGGTGGTCTTTCGACAACGCGCTTGTCGCGACTGCGAGGGTTACAGTTGCACAACATGACGCATGCGGAACGCTTTGCAATGTTGTTGTACCGGTTTTGAGTCTTGGGGGTCGTTTTGTCCGGTGTGTCTTGATGTTGATGCCAACGGACATGATGAGCTCCGTTGTTCAATTTTGGTTGTGGGCCTGTGGCCACGGAAGGCGTGCGCGTCAGTTCGACCGGCACGGGTGTCGCAAGGTACGGCGCAGAGAACAGGACATTTTTCATGTAAAGGCAACAACACCACCACCAACATCATAAACAACAACCAGCATTTGATGCCGCGGTGGTCCTAACATGGTAATTTTTTCGTTTTCGTCTTCTTGTGTGGGTTCTCGGCCTCTGCCCGGCGACGACGAACGGTGGTGCGTGGATCACGGCCGTGGTTTGCAGTTGGAGGAACTGGAGGACCGAGACGTGGCGGAAACTTCCATCGTGCTGAACGAGGATGGCTCCGTCACAGCAGGAAAGACTAGCGGCCCGATACCTATTCAAGTCAGGGGGAAGTGGTCGTTCGATGGCACTGCGTTCCGCATGGTGAGTTGAGGGTTTTATCGGTAAGTGCGATTGTGTGTGATTCTCGTTTGCAACTCTAAAGCGTCAGGCGCGACATTTGGCTTGAAGGACCATACACCGTTTTACGTCGGCGGAACGAAAGGCCTGAAACACACCTATTTTCAGTCAGCTGGATCTTAAGATTGGGAGCTGGGGGCTATCTGCCGCTGCAGACGAAACGTCTGCTGTAGTATTACGCAGCATGCTTCCGATCGGGCTTGATTGTTGGCACCCGTTCTTACTTTACACCAGCAGCTAATATTCCGCGACTGCACTACTTTCTACTCGAGTACTTCGGGCGTGATGATGCAAGAAGGCATTCGTTGTTAATGCCGAGCATATGAGGAACCAACCCTTCTGAGGAAATGCCTCTCTCCCCCCCGACCCGCGTGCAGTATCCATCCAGTCTATCTTCCCCAGCCCCTATTTTTTTTTGTTCTTGTTTGCTTCGAGTTAGGTCATTTCAGCGTCCGTGTTCATCCGTGTGTTGCTAGTGAGGACGTAGTTGACGCCTGCCGGCTCCACCCTCTGTCTGGTTTATTTCCAAGTCCCCTACCTTTTCTGTCAGGCTCCCAAGTGCGACGAACATTCAAGAGGCCACGTATGATGCACCTCCTCGCCATGTGTATTGTTGTCTCGACACTGTCGGAACCCCCCCACCCCTCTGTCGACTAGCCCTGCAATATCAAACGGTATTGGTTGGTATGTGTGTTGTGTATCTTGCGAAAAACATACACCGATGCGTCTAGCGTTTCGAGGGCGTCTGTCGGTCAACCAGATGATGATAAACTCCCTCCTTTCTATCGCGGACTCCGACCACCTTTGTGACTGGCTGTGCTCTTGCTGCCCTTGGATCTTATGGTGGACCTTAGCTGAACACCAACCGTGCACTCGTTGTGGTTGTGCTCTCGCTGCCCTAGGACCTACACCGGGAGTTCGACGCTTCCATCCCGTACGTGGTCTCGCGAGTCATGACGGGGTACGTCGAGGAGGTCCTGTCGGCCACCGACACAGTCATCATCACGGGGGACATCGTAATGGAAGGAATGGAGGTGGGTTATCTGTTACGCTTCGCTGTTTAGAGCCGTTTCGATGCAGCGATAGCATTCACGAAAGGCATGGACGAGCGCAGTGGGTGCGATGTATCGGAAACTACGTTTCACCCGGCACACGCTGCTTCGGGAGTAAATTGTTGCCACACAAGATCGCTGTCCCTTACGCCAGATGGATGGCAGTTGGATTCCTCGGTGGAGCATTCTTGCAACAGGTTCCCTCTTGCTCGTCTTTCACGGTTCCGAGACGGAAACCAAGTTTTGCGCTAACGGGTGGTTTTGTGATGGAGGTTGTGGCTGACGCTACAGAAAGTACCCCCACTTTATGAACCTCCGGTTTTGGCGAGGCTGAGGTTCTTAATTCCTATGATGTTTGTTACGAATTGCGTTAGATTGGTTTTAGTATAGGGGTTCTGAACCGAGCTCATTGATGGTGCTCAGGTCTGTGATTTTGAGTTATTTGAGGCAATAATGGTTTCATAATGACAAGTTCTTGAGTGCGGGCGCTTTCTGTACTGTTTCAGATACAGCGTGGGTGATCAGCGCGGGTTTTCCATGATTCAGATTCGTTAGGACGTGGGGGATCCGAGCTATGTGCCTACGGTTGTGCCTGATGGTGCTGATGTATGCAGTGCGTGGTTGTAATGTTTGTGGCAGGACGAAACAGGAATTTCGAGTAGTCTGTGCTGCTGTGCTGTCTTGAAAGCGCCTGGTGTGTTTGTGCCCAATGCCGTGTTGCCAACGCAATGTGAACAGGTGGGCTTTTTCAAGATGATCTCGTCACAGACAGACATCATGGACAGCATCCAACACATCGACCAGCAAATGGCTAAAATCCAGGCATGATTGACGTGACGCGACTTCAAGGAGGACGGACTCCAACGATGGGATAGTGGCTCCTACCCGAAGTAGCACGTGGCGAGACAATGACCACCCTTCGGTAAACTGACCATCCTGACGCAAAGTATTCCACGTCGGATAACTGCTGTGCAAACTCTAGCCGAATCGTCGGCTGGTTCGCACCGGCATGCTCACGTATGACGAGGGTTTTCTCAATTGTTTGTGGTGTGTCTGCTGATCGCAGTGCAGCGCTGCCGACATTTGGAACGGGGGGGGGGTATCGATGTCCTCCTTTCAGGGAGGCCGGTCACAGCTGCGGGAGGTATCACCCAGTCTAGAGTTTTTTTGCACCTGTAGACCCTCTCGTGCGGCATTTTCTCTTGCCGCACTGTTGCTGTAGTGCTCCTGACGCCCTGTGTTTTTCAGTGCTCTGTGTTGGACCCCGGTGACGAGGATGCTGCTGCCGCTCAAAAGAGCGCAGGAAAAGCGGTAGGGGTGTTTGCAGCGCACCCCTCTCCGCCACCTCCCCTCTCTTGCCGTAGCCAACAGGCAAAGTGTGTTGTGAAGTTCATCCCGTATACATACCCCTCTGTCGCCTCCTCTTGTACGTGATGGAGAGTGAAAGACTATCAAGCGAGTACGACGTGTACTCTGGTTGTTTCATTTCGAGGAGTACTCTGGTTGTTTTATGCCGGGGAGTGCGGCAGCAGTTCTGCTGGAAGTATAGGATAAGTAAGAGATTTTTTCGCCAACGGTGCGGCGGTGTATTTCACGTATCGTGTAGCCTCCCCGGACACGCGGACGATTGCGCGCTTGACATGTTGGGGTATACTCTGCTTGGCGCGTTGGACGGTAGTTTCATGTACTGCTTAGTAAGAGGCTAGCTGGCTGTTCATTGTTTTTGTCAAGCATCATGGAATTTAATGCTGTACTCTATTGAGGTGTTTTCTCTCGTTGGCGTACAGTGAGAGGTTTTGCTCTCTCTCTCTGGCGTAACCGCTGGCTTCCGACAAATACAACTATGAAACCGGGTCCTACATGCAACTGATGGCTGTTGACACCCCCCTTTGTTTTGTTTACAACTGTACCGATTCTCATGGCGTGAACGCTTCTCCTGCAGGGGACCCAAAAACTTCCTGTTCAGCTGCTTCCAAAGGCAACCACACTCCGCGGTGCCGCATGGATGGGCACCCACTTTGCATCGCCGATGCGCTCAAAAATGTAGAGGGACTGTAGCGGCACATATTTGTTGATGCCAACGGAGAGATGTGCAGGCTCTGTTAACAACCATGTACAAAGGAGGGAGCAAATCGCGAGTGAGCACGGACAAGATGACCGATTTCACCCAAGATTTCACACAAGATGCTCTTCGGCCATACTCGACAGATCGGCTACTAGATTGATGCCCACATCTGGTGAACGCGCCGCGAGTGGGTGAGATTCGGAACCTGTTCATATTTATTTCCAAGCGTAACCAGCAGGGAGGACATCCTTTCAACACATCGAGCAAAGCTTTGCTCCTCTGGATGCCTCGAGCACCGTCGGGGTGTATCTTCTCCACGTAGGATATTAACACATCCAGTCATCGAAGCGACAAACGAAGATCGGGCAGTGCCTCCTTCACCCACTTTTATCTTCGCCAGATCAACATGAAGCTGAGCAAGGAGGTAGGTGCGGGTGGAGAAAGAGTGATTTGGTCGGAGCATTTCTTCCTGGAGAATGAGGTGCAGGTCAGAGAGCCAGGGTTATGGTTGTTGATGCCGTGTGAACCACACCGCCACGAATGACAAGCAATACAATTCTACGTGCAGTAGAAGCAGCATGAGGACCGAACAGAGTGCCAGCACACCTCTCACGTGCATGTAAAGTCTGGGTTTGAGAGGGACAGGCAACGGCAAGAAGCTCGACAAGACATCCATGTGGGGGGTTCGAGGTGCCGCAATGGACAATTCACCTTTCTTTACAAGCACATCCACAGCAACACCGAATCTGACATTTTAAAGCCTGACATAATTACGTATGTGCCTACGCACGTACCACAGTAAACAGTGGTCACGGGGAACTAGGCACGGAGGGCGGTAAGTACAACAAGATGTTGCTCTAGATGCCTCCTTGAAACTGTGTTTTATTACTTTTGGGGAACTGTCCAGAAGCTTGATGAAATGCCCGTCCGGGTTATGTACGCTGCCAGCAAAGGGCGTAGCGTGCAAGACAGTAGCGGCAGCAGCAGGCTGTCCAGGGTAAGATAGTCGCACCTCCTCACATTAACAGGGACACATGTGCCAGACCAGAAGAACCTGTGGTATCGCCTCCGCTATCTCCCAGCAGGACGCCTACGTTTCACACCTTACTATTAATACTATGGAAGGACAAGCTAGGCGGGGGGGCGGGTGCATTCTGGGGCTTACGATACAAATACAACGCGTGTGAGAGGGCATTCTACCTTCCCTATCAACCCTCAAGTCCACGAGAAAGTCGGCAAACCTCTGGCAAGATGGAATACGTGGACCAAGTTTGTGTTGTAGAGAGAGGCAAGTCAACTTCCTTCTTCGTACGCGTGCCCACCGAGAAGAACAGCTCAAGATACCCCAGGAATTACTAGACGCGCGAAGAACTCACTTGTTATTACTCTTGCGGAACAGCAGCAACAGTAGTTGTTGCTTTGGGTTGTATCGGTAGGAATGACACCGAGGGGCCCAGGAACCCCTGCTCAAGCAGGGGCTACTATGATCCCGTCCCCTGTTTTATGCTTCCGCGGGGAGTTGCATCTATCTCTCCCCACCTTCGAGAAGGAACCATTCTCTTCTATGTTCCGTCTACACATCCGAATCCTATAATACCATGTAACATGGAGAACCCGCACTAATGTAGTGTAGAAGTTTAGACGTTCGTCCAGAGATAAAGTCAGGATAGCCTGCGGATGGGTAGGTAGTCCTTCCGGTCTACCACTGCTGTGGATTGCACAAGCCTTTGCTCCGACGTGTCTGGTCCAACTGGCTGAGTGTATAGTGCGACGCCAAGCCAGTTCCATTCACGGTAAATATATCCCATTGCTATAGTCTATGGCATTGCATCGTGCAAAGCCAGTATGAGCATGCCCGGATTTCACCTCACCGTTTACCGGGGGTACTGACAAGGGCAAATCGGCTCTACTCCTAGCCCAAGACGAAAAAGGGTCTGACAAACGGACACGAGCAACTCTTGCTTCCGGAGCCCCGATCCGAAAGGCAACATCCGTAGAGGACATCGTAGAGCAGCGACGTGCGGACTGGTACGCTGAGGTCGTCAGCCATACCCTAAGGGGTTACAACCAGACCCAGAGCTCCGCAAACCTGGAACCAAGCCAGAATTTGAAACTGACATTTGCGCCGCCACGGGCCCTGGTTCCCTGATTGCGGTCCGTCAAAATATCGTTGTGGGAGACACTACTATTGTTGCTGTAGACTGTGACCCGCAGTTGAGCAGATAGCGTCTGCGGCGGGCTCAGAATAGGGTCTGCGGCGGCAAGTGGGTCCATAGTCTCACTTTGGACGGTTTGGACCTAGCCGTGCGCATTTTTCGGACCGCAGTTGCAGCCCTCGATAGCACAGCAGCCCCAATTGCAGGTCCGAGCTTACCCTCACGCATGTCCTGCTCCATGTGCTTCGTTTAATATCGTCACGTGTGGAGGTAGACTGCGTAGGACGGAGGTAGGTAGGACTGCGGCAACACACCGTGAGTTGCGGTACTCGGCTTGTTTCAACCGGGTCTCCTGGTATTGTGTGCGATTGATTGCTGGGTGCTCTTTTGGTCGTTTTGAAACCGGTGAATTCAAGATGGCTGCCAGTATTGCGTCATATGCGACGAAGTTCAGCCCCCGTCTATGCGAGAGACACGCTGCTGCTGCTGCAGTGCCGCAGTGGTAAATACACGTACAAAATTTCGAAAAGATTGTTACCCGTAGCTCATTTGATTTGCTGTTGCCGCCACCGGACCTATGGCAGCCACCGAACCAGCAACGGCAGACGAACCCGGCGGCTACTGCCAACCCACCGGCGGTAAGTGAGCAACAACTCAGCTCGCCACGGGCTGGAGATCGGCTGGATCAGCAGCGTAAATTGTGCTCATCATCATCATGCCTGCACCTCGACGAGAGGGTGACGAAAGAAGTGAGCACGGCCGCGGTGTGCCGCAGCCACGCCACGCCGTTAGCCGACTGAAGAGATCAGCTGGGTGATACAGACGACATACGATAGACGGGAGACGGGAGACACCGAGACAGAGAGAGAGAGCGAACGATCGGCGATAAGCGATAGGCGATCAGCGATCAGCGATGGCAAGCCTGGACCGAGTTCTGGACGGACGGAACTAGTTCTTTCGGTCGCGAACCGGTACTAAACAAGGGGCTCCGCAGTCTGCTATTCGCCAGCGACCAGAGTGCCCCACGCCCTCACAAGCACCCCTACCCACATTTGCTGTGGCGATTCGGATAGGCGAACAGGGATTGCCATGGCTACCGAAGGTGAGGGGGATTGGGTTGTGTTGAGGGTGCAACGGAAGGCAGTAGTGCTCACGACTTTGTCGACAAAATAAAGTTACAGGAATATTATATGTTTGTGTTCTGGTTCTAGCGTGGTTCTCGGTCGGAGGGCGGTGGAACAGAACCTGACCTGCCTGACAGCAAGGGTCCTGCCGCATGTATGCTCTGCATGCTCGCATGCTGCGCACACATGAGCCTCGCAACCTGGGCACAGCACAGCAGCGCCCGTTGGGAGGAGACTTTCAACTGAATGAACCATGTGGAGCGCCACCGGTCCGGAAGAGGCAGGAGCAGAGCAAGGTCTCCGAAGCGACAATGTAAGCGTGACGACTTCGGATGCAGATGGCCGCTCTGGCCGTGGCAGGGCGCACCTTCATTTGATCCCCGTCTCCCTTGTCAGCGTAACGAATAGACTCGTGGACCTCAACCCTCCGTGAAGTCTACAGAGCAGTTGCCCTTCTTTCGGCGTATGAGTAGAATTGGCAACAACAAGTATTGTCTTCCTCCACCTAGTCTAGGCAGCAGCCATCCTGCTTTCTCTTCTCCTCCCTCTATTTTGATGAGACTTTTTTTTATGTTGTCCGGGGCCGAAGGACGAACTCAAGTCGCGCGTGATGCAATGGTCGGTTTTATACGATTTTACGCGTGTTGTTGAAAGGTGAATACTTACGAGGCAAATATGACCCATGGCTGTAGGCTACTTTCAGCGGTGCCGACACCACGAAATAAAACGTACGAATGATTGTACCGTCTGCGGCCGGCCGAGAACGCGTACCAGAGTGAGGTTCATGCGACCCACCGAACTATTCGCGGTGCTCGTGCTTGGTGAATGCGCGCTGTGCATGGTGTATATGTTGCAAGGATTTAAATGCTGATTGTACGATGTTTTCCATATTACCGCCGTTAAATATCTTTTATCATTGGTACAAAAGGCCCTTACGGTCACGGACGTGCTGGCGGGAGCACAACATTCGGAAGGAGAGGATTCGGGCTGTGGAGAGCAGCAGGGAGCATTCATTATACGTCGTCGGCCAGCACAGGCACTTGGGTTGGGTGGTCGTTCTTTGTCGTCCTCACCTAGTTCAACTGACTTGCCCAGCAGCTTTTCAGCTCATCTAGAGGATGGGGGCAGCGGGATCACGATGAGCAGGGGGACTTGGATGAACCCCGGGTACCATGGGGATGGGGCAGCAGCAGCTGGTGCTGGTGGTCAGGACACCGGGCTGTTCGACCCGAGGGGAACACTCATAGGTGTAGGCAGAGCACCCATCGGAGCAGGTGTGCCGGAGTCTACGGGCTCTTTGTCTCTGGCGACACGTGGCACGGGGAGGCTGTCGATGTCCCCGGCACATGTGTCAGCAGCAGGCATCGCCCCTCGCCGGGATGCGTGCACGGGCGTTGGCAGGGCACCCATCGGAGGTGCGCCGAGGTCTCCGGGTTCTTTGTCTCTGGCGACACGTGGCACGGGGAGGCTGTCGATGTCCCCGGCACATGTGTCGGCAGCCGGCATCGCCCCTCGCCCGGATGCGTGCACGGGCGTTGGCAGAGCACCCATCGGAGGTGCGCCGAGGTCTCCGGGTTCTTTGTCTCTGGCGACACGTGGCACGGGGAGGCTGTCGATGTCCCCGGCACATGTGTCAGCAGCAGGCATCGCCCCTCGCCGGGATGCGTGCACGGGCGTTGGCAGGGCACCCATCGGAGGTGCGCCGAGGTCTCCGGGTTCTTTGTCTCTGGCGACACGTGGCACGGGGAGGCTGTCGATGTCCCCGGCACATGTGTCGGCAGCCGGCATCGCCCCTCGCCCGGATGCGTGCACGGGCGTTGGCAGAGCACCCATCGGAGGTGCGCCGAGGTCTCCGGGTTCTTTGTCTCTGGCGACACGTGGCACGGGGAGGCTGTCTACGCCCCCGGTACATGTGTCGGCAGCCGGCATCACCTGTGGACAAGGTGCGCTTCAGCCACGTTCGCCACTTGCATTGCCACGGTTTGTTCAGAGAACCACCATCCCAGGATTTAGGACCACAGAAGTGGGAGGGAAGAGAGCAGCGGCGGGAACAGAAGAACACGAGGACCTCAGTTCATCCCTGGAGTATGAGAGCAACAAACAGCCGCGTACCGGCACATCCGTCAGCGTGTCCACAGGGGGCAGGCGGAAAGGGCAGCTGAGACAACAAGCCAGGGCCTGCCATGGGTGGTGTAGGAGCAGCAGACCAACGGACATTAGGCATGCTTGCCAGGGTGGTAATCCTGCGGAATGCAACTATTGGCTGTGCAAGAACTGTTTGAGAAGATGGCAGGAAAAGTCTGAGCATCTGCAAGGATTCCGGTGCTGCCTGCATGGGGGGAAAGAGTGGTGCCCGTGCATCGACAGGTGGGTTTCTTTTTTTTTTGCTTTTTCGAGAGCAAATCTCGTCGATGAATATCTGGGTGGTACTCTGTAAGAATATCCGTAGAATATCCGTCATCTCTTTGATGTAACGAGGTGGGGTTAAAAGAGACCCCAAGAGGGCTACCCAAAGAGGGGGGGGAGGTTTGACTTGAACGTGGTTGACAGCAGTTCTTCAATCCAGGATCCAATAAAGAAGGCGGTATTGTACATGCACACGCGGCGCTACGAGAAGCAGACTCGGATCTAGTACGTCGGGCTCATGAGATGAGATGGGTGCTTTGACATGCCATGGAAGATGGACTACAGGTTGGAGTACTGAAAGCCCTCCTGACCAACCAGACAATGGTTGGAGTCCCGAACAACCGTGGGGGTACAGTGTGTAAGTGCTGGTTAGGCGCGAAACGAGAAAGTGCAGAGTGAGTGCAACGAGGGAGTTGTTCTTGCTCTTGAACGGTTCTCAATCCGGTAGTCCTTGAATTCTGCAATATTGTCCTTGCAATCGGACCTACTTCCCTTCATTTTTGCAGGGTAGGAGGAAAAAACGCACGCATTAGCATTACCCAGCTGGTGCCCGTTCAACCAACATTCCCCTTTCTAACCCCCGTGCCCATCACGCTGCTCTCACCGCCTGATGTAGGGTCGTGGTGGGGAAAGGGCCCGCCTCGGTGAACGCGCGATCTAGGGCAGCGCAGATGCGTCGTGTGAGTACGAACGTGTACGAGTTCCCGACGCCGACAGCCCCAAGCCTCGCGGCCGCGACGACAACTCCTGGTCCCACGCCAACCTCCGGGACGGGAACGACTTACTCGGTGTGCACATCGAACAGTCAAAACCGGGTGGCTGTGATCAAGGCTGGTGACCAGTACATGTGCTCACGGAACGACTGCAGACGGTGAGAAACAGGCGTAGGAGCTGTGGGTACGTCGACGCTAGGGTTCGGGTGACCGGTAGAGTTCGTGCTCCGTCGTCAACCATATATTAGGCAATCTTTTCTTGGAAATCTAACACGAAAACACACCCGAAGTATCTCAACGCAGACCCGTCTAACCCTCGGTCCGATCACGCAAAAACCCGCCGCCGCCTTTTTTTCGACAGGGTCGAGAGTCTCAGCTCCGCGGCCGCCGGTACCACGGACTCTGCACTACCGGCTCGTTGCCCTCATGCAGAGGCCGTACACACCGAACTGATGTCATCCACGCAGATGGAACAAGCTGATACCCTTTTTTCAGCGGAGAGTTTTATGCACGCGCTGGCTAACGTGCCAGCAGGAACATTCAACCGAGCCACAGTGGCAGCCATGCAGGCACGCGCTGACCAGGCGGCGAAAGAAGGCGTCCCGGTGCTTGTGGGCCTCGGGAACACGAAGTTCTTCGGGGTGAGGGACGGCCACGCATTCAACCGCAACGTGGTTGGAGAGTTTGCGCACGTGAAACACGATGAGAGCGCGAGTAAAATGTTCCAGTGCAAGGTGGGTGACTGTTGAGGTTCGACTTGTGGTGATTTTTGCCCCAGCGTGGCTTTGGAGCTTGGAGATAGTTGGAGTAAGTAGCGTACCCAGCACGAGTAGGATTTCGTCATGAAACACACGAAGTACACCTCGTTCGTAGCTTTGATTCTCTCTGTGTTGGTTTTGTGCAGATCCTGTTCGTTGGCAAGCGGCGTCAAGATTGGTATTGCCGTCGCCGATTTGATAGCTCATACGGAACACCCCACCACGCAGCTCAATGACTGCTGATGTTGTCGTGGATGTTGCTTGTCGCTGTCGCTTTTTGTTTCTTGATGGCCCTTGTGAAGGGAAACAACGGAAACCCTTGCAGCGACAGTACGTCGAGGAAACATACCGGCCGTTGTGTTCACGCCGGCATCGTTGCGGTATACATTTACGACCGTCAAGTCTCCTCCTCTGGGGAGGGCCCGGAGTTGGAGCGTGATGGCGAGATGGATGGCATGGAGTTCGGGTCAGAGTGGCATGTGTGGGGGGAGGACGGCGCCAACGGCGACGACATGGGGTTGGCGACGTCCATTCAGACCCAAGACCCTGTGCTTTTCGAGCAACATATGGCTCAGCTGAGAATGATCTCGTCTGTGTACAGGTTTCCCGTCTGCGAGCCCGCGCTCAAAAACGGGACATACGGGCGACAGACCATTCATGTCAATGCGTGTCTCTGCACAGGCTGCGGAGAGCCGTACCTGAAACTTCCCGACGGCGAAGCAATCCTTCTCGGCCAGGTATGTAGGTGGATGCTGGTGTTGGGCAGCAGTGCTGCCAGCGTTCCTTGCCACTAAACGGCATGCAGTACTGGGTGGTATTTCCCCGCCCGTGGTAAGTGTTCTCCGCAAAATTGACTACGCCGATATTATTTCATCGGGTCTACTTCCTTCATGTGTCGTGTCCAGTTTTGCAGGGGGTGTCGTTCCAATAATCCACAGTTGGTCGGCGCGTTTGGGCGCTTGGCGCGGTTAAGGGTGTGGGGCTCGCAGCTTGCAAGACCGACCTTGTTGTTGCATTCCCTGGCTATATTTTCTGCGCGTTTATGCAGGGGGCAAGAAGGAAGACAGACTTGCGGGTGGTGACGGTTGAGCGGAAGGAGTGCCGGCGATGTAACCTAAAAGGCTGGGCGGGCGATAACATCTACGAGGACGGAGTGTTCAATTACAACGGCAACGTTGTAATTGAACTTTCAATCCTCTACGCGATCCGCCGCGCGGTCAGTGCCGGACAGCCGGTGTCAACCTGGGTGAAGATTTTTCTCGAACCGCTGTTGGATGACATGGAGTGGCTCAGCTCGGAAGAGACTCTGGCGAACCGGTGAGTGATATTCGGTGATTGGTTTGGGTTAGTTGTCGGGGGTATGCGCTTCAGATGGTTTTTGTTTTTTCGCCAGAACACATGTAAATGCTCTTGTTACCCAACAAGTTCCAACAGCCCGCTCCGGTTTTGCTGGAACAAAGCGGGGGGGTCAGAGCGGGTACGGGGAACATCGCACAAAAGCACTCTCGACAGTTGACCCTCGTCAGAACAGGCGTATATGGCGCTGCTATCCTATTTTTTTTGTACCTCTCTGAAAACCTCCATGACAAACGCGTCAAAATCGACTGTATGCCCGGACTGACCAAAGAAAAGAGTTTTGATTCCCCGTGAGGTGAGGAAGCAGTGCTCGGTGGCCGCCGCAGTGGGTCAAAATTCTAAGGGTGAGGCGTCCGCACTAAAAATACAACTCGTCGTGTTTTCTCGAACATTCGCGGCGTTCTTTCATGTGGTGATGAACAGGCGCGCTAATAAACACTCCTGTCCATACTCCGGTAACGAGTTGTATGCTGCGCGTACGGTTTGGGGTTTTCAGGTCATATTTATCATATTTCTGGCATGGTACATGACAATAAACTGGCAATACGTGGACGATTCCAGCAATACGTGGACGATTCCAGCAATCTAAAGCGTCAAATGCTCGTTGCATACATACGCCAATTGTCACGTGTGCAAACATAATCTACGGACTTGTCTGGGTGAGAAACAAGGAGGTGCGGACACCGAAAGTTGAAGGAACGGAGGATAGCGCGGTAGTAGCTGTAGGCAGTAACAGGCATCAGTCGTCCGTGAAACCTCGTATTTTCTGCTTTTTCTGGAATTTTTTGCATGATTATGTGCGTATGGGCTGTAGCTGGCTTGCCAAAAAAAAAAAAAAAAA